ATATTGGTCAGTGATGAATTGTGAGTAGTCTGTTGTATTGTTCTCATTGTCGTTTAGGTAGGTGGTCACAGTTATGTTTCAAATTATTTTAGGGACTATTGGGTGGAAATAATCGTGGATCTGGATTCAGGTTTTTGGCTATTTATAATGTTGCTTGTTAACTTTTTTTTATTTATTATTGATTATTTTATTTTTGGTGGTTGTTATTGCATTTACTTGTGTTTATGTGTGCAATTAGGGTTTGTTAATTTTATTATTTACTTTATTTATTGGCTTGGATAAATTTATTTTACTTATTTATTTTATTTTTTATTTACTTATTTTTCTTTATTCTTGTTCATCTTTGATTTTCGATTTGTAAGTAAGGTGGTAAAAATTTGTTTTTTGTCTGCATTTTGAGATGAGTTCTGATCATTTATTTAATAGTTTGTGTTGGTCTGGGAAGGTAATTATAGCTATTTTCTCCTTCAGACAGTGTTTACAATATATATATATATATATATATATATATATATATATATATATATATATATTCTGTGTATTTAGCCAGAAAATGTTCTTTAAGGCAAATATTATTAAAAGCAACAGACAGATTGACTTTTCAAAGTTATGAACAATCCTTCTCAAAGAGGAAATTCAGTTAGAAATTATATGAAATTCATTTTGGAAGAACTGTATAAGAAATATAGCACATATTTTCGAATTTCTTCAGTCATCATCAGGGTATGTAGAGTTGTGAGTTTTATAGAACTAGTGTGTGTGTGTGTGTGTGTGTGTTGATGTAAGTGTGGTATGTTTTTATTTCTTTTTTTATATACATTTCAGGGTTTTAGTTAAAAATTGTTTTTATTTATTGGTTGTTGTTTTTGTTGTACAAGTCCTGCTTCAAGGATCAGAAGTCTGTTTTGACTATTTGATTTTGCCTAATATGTTGCTATAGTTTGTGAGCAGCTGTCTAATGTTATGATGATCCTTATACTGCTTTCTAATGGGTTTATTTCCTCCTTGTCTGAGAAGGATTATTAGTAATTTGGAAAAGTCAACATGTAAAATTAATCAACGCAAAATGTCTCTTTTTAATAATATATATAGTCAAGGCCCTCTATACCAAAAGCAACCAACCAGTGTAGTAGCAATATTTTAAAATAAATTTGACCAACATTTAATGCCATTTGCATTTTTATCATCTCTGGTTAGCTCCTTTATACTGTGGATGCTTGTTTATAAAGACACCATAGCTACAACAAATAATTTTAAAATAATTATAATAGAGCATGTTTACAAAGATCATGATCACAATTACATTAAGTTTGTCTTCACAATTCACCCCTGAGGATGATCTCAAAGGAGATCGAAAGTGCTTGGGTTAACAAAAACTATGGGACCTTCCTTGATGAATTTCATCTTAACATCAAGAAACTAATTGGAAAACTAGAAAGGATTATTATAAAATATATAATATCTATATTATTCAAAGAAAAATGCTTGAATAAAGATATATATATATATATATATATATATATATATAGAGAGAGAGAGAGTGTGTGCAGTTTATATTTTATATCATAAAGAAACAAAGTACAATTGGTAGAGTAAAAATGTCTTAGTAGTTTTCTATAGAATTTAAGATTCTGATTATTACTGTGCTGCAGATCTAATGTTGTAAATATATTAGTGTGCAGCTTATATTTTATATCATAAAGCAACAATTTATACAAAGAATTAAATGGCGAAATCACTTTGCTAACAGAACTTAATGAGACATTAATTGACTATCAATTCTTTGAATAATAAGATCCTTATATTCAAGTTGTTGTTGGATGGAAGACACATGTCAAGCACTTTCAACAGTTTCAAATTGTCATCTACTAAGACAATTTTACTCTACTAACTGGATTATACTAAGTCTATTTCACTTTAACGGACAAATATATATAACAAAAAAATTTTGTGGATTTATAACTTTTAAAAATTCAAACAAAATTCTCACTTGATCAACTTGAACAAAAACTCTAACGTCACAGCATTGCATGCTCCAAAACATACATTCAACTGTCAATAAATAGCATAATTTAAAAAAACATCTTTTGGTCTACACATATTTCATCTTAGTGTTTGCCTATGTATGGGAAAATTGCACTGTGAAGATGACAATTTGAAATTCTCAAAAGTACTTGGCATGTGTCTTCCATTTGACAACAACTCGAATATAAGGATCTTATTATTCAAGGAATTGATAGTAAGTTAATGTCTCATTAAGTTCTGTAAGCAGTGATTTTGCCATTAATCACATTAACATTGCTAATTAATTCTTTGCATAAATTATTTCTTTATAATAAATATATATTTTATATGTAGGCAGCAACCTTTCTTTTATACATGTTTCATTGAATGTAACAGACAAGGAAAATATGAGTTTTTTTTTTTAATTCAATTTTTCTAATATAATTTCTAATGTTCTTATCAACCAATTACTTAAAAGTAAAATTTAAAAAATAAATTTTTAAAAATTACATTATAGCATTTTGTATTTACTGCCAGTAATATGTTCAGTACAGGTACACCGTCAGAAATATACATTCTTTTCCTACAAAAATTTTAATTGTACTGTTTTTTACATATGTAATTTTTTAAAATTTTATTTATTTAGGAAAATTAAATGATAGCATTTTACATGTGGTTGGGTCCCCCTTTGTCTCTGGGCAACCAATATTTTCAGATTACTGTCCTTGTCTATCACATTCAATGAAACAATCACACACAAATATATATAATATAATATATATATATATATATATATATATATATATAACAGCAGGACAAACATGAACTTAAGACAGTTTATCCATTGTTTCAGCATCTTATTCAAAAATTAGAAAAATACAATAAAAAAATTAAATATATACACCTTGCCAGTTGAATTCAATAAAACTTGTTTATTATATATATATATATATATATTCAAAACTTGTATTTTTTTCAATTTTTGAAGATGTTTATGAATAAATCATCTAAAGTTCAGGCTTGTTCTGTTTTTGTTTGTTTGTGTGTGTGTATGCACATATATATATATATATATATATATATATATATATATATATATATATATATTAAGAAATGGACAAGGTCCGACAATTTATTTATTAAAGACATTTTTATGTTTAACGTTGTTTTTTTTATAGATACAAGTATTTAAGCAAATGCTCTGTTTAAGATAAACAGTATTAAATAACATTTACCAGCCTGAATATCCGAGAATTTTCATAGAAAATATTCGTTCTTTGACAGGATTCGAACCTGCATCCTATACGGAACCGTCATATACGCTGACGTGCCTTACCTCTAGGCTACAAAGAACCTTTTCAGTAGACAAGGTCGAATTTACTGCTTATAAACTTCAATCTTCAATGAATCTCGTACATTCATAACTGCTCTGGCGTATCAAATGTAAACAAATGACGTCATATATTTGTAGCCTAGAGGTAAGGCACGTCAGCGTATATGACGGTTCCGTATAGGATGCAGGTTCGAATCCTGTCAAGGAACGAATATTTTCTATGAAAATTCTCGGATATTCAGGCCGGTAAATGTTATTTAATACTGTTTATCTTAAACAGAGCATTTGCTTAAATACTTGGATCTATAAAAATAACAAAATTAAACATAAAAATGTCTTTAATAAATAAATTGTCGGACCTTGTCCATTTCTTAATATATGACGTCATTTGTTTACATTTGATACACCAGAGCAGTTATGAATGTACGAGATTCATTGAAGATTGAAGTTTATAAGCAGTAAATTCGACCTTGTCTACCGAAAAGGTTCTTTGTCGCCTAGAGGTAAGGCACGTCAGCATATATGACGGTTCCGTATAGGATGCAGGTTCGAATCCTGTCAAGGAACGAATATTTTCTATGAAAATTCTCAGATATTCAGGCCGGTAAATGTTATTTAATACTGTTTATCTTAAACAGAGCATTTGCTTAAATACTTGTATCTATAAAAATAACAACGTTAAACATAAAAATGTCTTTAATAAATATATATATATATATTTTACTGATGCCAAATCAGTCAAGTTTCGAACCTGGCTTGAAACAATTGGTTATCTAGCCACACTGATGAGCTGTGATACAGCAAAACAGGCTTATATATAGATGACTATGCTCTCATTGTGCAATTGTGCACTATAGAGAACAGGGTAATTTAAAAAAAACAAAAAAAAAGAGTGGCTGCTGCTGCTATTAACACATTGCTCTTCAATTAAAAACTGAGTGCTCTTGGCTACTGACATTTATATACATCTCGTATATAATACGTTAAAAATTTTACTCTTTCTGCTGTGTGCCAATAACTTAGGGATAGAATCTCTGACTGATGCCAAATCAGTTAAGTTTTGATACCAGCTTGAAGCAATCAAATGTTTATCCCCACTGTTGAGCTGTGATACAGCGAAACAGGCTTTTATAATGGACACACACACACACACACACACACACACACACACACACACACATATATATATATATATATATATATATATATATATATATATAGTGTGTATGTGTGTGTGTAAAAATTTCAGATAGCTTGTATCTATAAAGGGACAATATGAATAAAGACAAAAGCAAAAACCTATCTTAGCCGATGTGTTTCATCTTCTGCGAGATCATTTGGCTTGATAAAGTCCCTCAGAGGATGAAATGCATTGGCAAGTTTTCTTTTTGTCTTTAATTCATATGTTTTTTTTAAACTGCCCTATACAAGCAACTGCGGTAAGGATTTCAAAATGACCCACTTCCCAAAATCTGACCAAAGACCAGAATTTTTATTTTTTGCGGTGAGGGAGATTCCTTCTTTTCAGTATCCTCTTGGATTTAGAGATGTAAAATGAAAACACATCTAGAAAGTGGAGTAAGTAAAACAAAAAAAATTTTTTAAAAAAGATGTCAATTGGGGGTGGGGCAAAACAATAACTGGTGGGAGGGGTTAGAATCACCTAAAGAAAAATAAAAGGAAAGAGGAGAGCAGTTGAGGAGAAGGGAGAAGTAAGGAAAAAGAACAGATACACAGGGAGGCAAAGGCAGATATAAGAGAGTGAGTGGTGTAGAAGAGGAAGGAGAGAGAAGAAAGTAAACCTGTCATTAGAGAGAGAATAACTGAAGTGAAGAGAGAGAGAGTAATACAAATTCTAGAAAGAGAAGAGATGACCCAAAAGAGTGGGTAGGTAGGAATGGTAAGTATTGTAATAAATGCTGGGAATTGAAGAACTGTTTGGAACAGAGATGGACAGGGTGGATTTGAGGGTGCAGGATGGGGAGGGAACTGAGAAGGAAGAAACACATTAGGCAGAGAGGAGAGGGAAGAGTCCAGAAAAGAAATCTAATCTGTCCTCGACATTTTCTTGTTGCAAAAGACCTGTAAAATAGATTATTTGTAACGTCATTTCCCACCACTTCTGTCCAATACCGCAATTGAGTCATTGACAGTAATAAGAAAAAAAAAAAAAAAAAAAATACAACCTGATGGTTCACTGTCCACTTCTGTCTTAAAGAAAACAAACACATATACACACATATATATATATATATATATATATATATATATATATATATATATATATATATAAGGTGTCATAAAGTTTGTGTGCACTTAAAAAATTTATAACTTTATTTGTATCTGCAAATAGAAATAATCTGTAAAAAATGTTATAAAGTTTAATGTACCTAGTTTTAAGTAGAGCTAAAATAACTAATGTGATTTCAGGCATTACTGTAAATCAGTTAGCAAATGTTTTCCGTGAATTGCAAAATCGTATTACCCTTTGTATTGCTAATGATGGAGGACATGTGGAAACTTAAATAAAATTTCAATTAAACCTTAAAAAAAAAATATAGATTTACTACTTTCTAATCCTTTTTACAAATTATTTCTATTACCAAATACAAATAAAGTTTTTAAAGTGTACACAAAATACAAATAAAATATATTTTATATAATATATATATAAATATAATATATGGACACCCTGTATGTATATATAATATATATATATATATATATATATATATATATATATATATATATAGTTGGATTGTTGTGAGTTTGTGACCCTGAGTTTCCTGCTATTTGCAATTGTCAGACAAACTTTTAAAAAATTTTTAAATTTTGGGTTTATATATGGTTGCATATATCAGTGTTTTTATGATAGTGGGAAGAAAAATTGTCATCAGAACACCACTTATACATACACAAACATACATACACACATGTTCACTCATTGATATATGCAGACATAAACACTCACTCACTGGAGCTCACACAAACATGAACAAAATACACATAAATAAATGAACAGTGCAGTGAACTGGGCATATATTTCTTATATATTATAATTATTTTTCAAAAATATGATTCCATCACTACATCAGTGTTCTCATGTTTCAAAAACAAAAGCTAAAAACCAGCTCTGTTTCATCCTCAAGCGAATTTTGGAATAACTAATCTTGAAATTTATGGAGCTTTATAAGCATATACATTCATAATATTAATTACATGGAAACGGTGAAAACAATTATTGTAAAAAGGGGCATAAGGGTGAACATATTGTATCAACATATTAGTTACTTTCGGAAAGAGGTTAAATCAAGGTAGGGTCGGGTGTCTATTTTCAAGCAAATGATGACATCATTTTGATGTATATCATCTGGTCTGTTTCAACAACAGAAAGTTGTTGACATTATTGTTACGACGTTAAATTCATATTTGTATACCTTAAATTAATTTTTTTAAATTTAGGCTCTACTTATGTATTGAGCACTGTTTTTTTAAAAATGAAAACAAAAATACTCCAACAACAATTTTTCACTTCGGATTATTAACCTAACTGTTCTTTCATATTTTCTATATTTTGCACATATATGCAATTTTTTATATTTATATATATATATATATATATATATATATATATACACACATTTTATATAAGAAATATATGCCCAGTCCCACACTGTTCATTTATGTTTGTGTGAGCGAGTGTGTATGTATGTATATATGTCTGTCTGCGTATGTCAATGAGTGAATGTTTGTGTATGTATGTTTGTATATGTATGAGTGGTGTTCCAACAATTTTTCACCCCACTTCCATAAAAACATCAATATTTGCAACCATATATAAATCCAAAATTTAAAAATTAATCAGTTTGTCTGATGATCGCAAATAGCATGAAACCCATGGTCACAAATTCACACCAATCTAACTAAATATGTTAGCTCTATCACTGATATTGAGCACTTTCCAATAAGTACTGTGCATTTATAATATATAAATAATTTCATATATATATATATATATATATATATATATATATATATATATATATATATATATATATATATATATATATATATATGACACATAAAATGTTGCACTTTAAAGGAAATGAATAAAATGCTTCTGAAATGTTAAATAACTAATTTATTTAGTTGAAATAGCCACCATGTTGATGAATGACTGTTCTCCAATATACCTCTAAATTCTTGTTCCCTTCTTTAAAAAAAATGCTCATCCTTTGATGTGATAAATAGTTCAAATACTTCGATTACTTCTTCCCTATTGGAGAATGTTTCATTGCATATGAAAAGCTCAAACTGCTTAAATAAGTCACAATCAGTTGGAGAGATAACATGTGAATATGGCGGATGAGAGAAAATTTCATAATTCAGGCAAGACAGCTTTTGGACAGTTGATTAAGAACTCTGCAGCAATGCATTATCATGCAGCAAAATTAGGCCATCCCTATTCACAAGTCTATGATGTTTCTTTTGCAATTTTTCATGCATTCACTCAATCTTTCCACAATATGAGGTTGCTGTTAGTGTTTTCCTCTGTGGTAAGAATGAATAATGAATAACCCCTTTGAAAGACCACCATACATTAACTTCTTAGGAGGTAGTGGAGGTTTTAGGTATTGTTTTGGTGATTCACTTGCGTCTAACCTCTGGCTCCTCTCTTACTGTTGTCAAAGAGATTCCAATTCTCATTACATGTAATAATTTGATGCAAAAATAGTTTTTTTTCCCAGTTTGTACTCACACAGTAAGATTATTCGACATTGTTTGATTGCAATCATTTTCACTAGGCTTATGAGTAACAATATATTGCAAGAAAAAGAGTCAGGAATAAGTCAAGATTTTTTTTTTTTTTTGTACTAAAGAGCTTGCTTCATTAGATGACCAGATCAACAACAAACCAAAAAAATGTCATTTCATGTGTGACTATATATATATATATATATATATATATATATATATATATATATATATATATAAAAACAACATATTTTTTTTTGTTTTTTTAAACACTGATAAGATGTGCAGCTTGAAAGATGCATTTGGTATCTATCCAAATGTCCACAAGAACAGAATCTGGCACAAGGTTCCAGTTATGACCCTAGCCTTCTCCCAAAATTGGTGGAACACTCTCTGAGACTCTAATACATTATACTTAATTTTAGCCCTGACTGGGGTCCTGACAGAAACAAAAGACCATTTTTTTTTTGCATAGCCACAAGAATGTGACACAATGCAGAGTTTAAAATTGGAGAACAAACGAGTACAAAGTGCAGGGACAAAAATTGCTTAATCTGCATTGCATATCTACTTTTTTTTACATGACCCAGGAATCAGGGATTAATTATAACCCCAAAGGAGAGATACTGGTAGGATGGTTCCTGGGGCTGAAGAAATTTTTAATTTTAGCCCTGATTGGGGAAACTGGGTGAGAAAAAGGTTCAGTGATGTTATATCTCGTGCAAGATATAATAAACAAAGTAACCCAAGTGTTGGTTTTCAATAATAGGTTTATAATCAGAGGTAGGTGTGTCAAGTACAGAGACAGAGTTGGGAGTATGCTAACCTCAATAGGTGTTAACAAACGAAGACTTTCTGACTGTCCACTGTGGTCGTACTTAATCGGCAACCAGTCCGTCCATTATCATGAATGGGGAAGTTGGGTTATATCATCACAACAAGTGATTAAGACATGCTTATTTTTTATTAACCTCAAAATTTGATATTAAAATTTGCTTGCATCCTATACACCAAAGTTATGAATATTTCATATATATATATATATATATATATATATATATACACACACACACACACACACAGAGACAGACATCCAACTATTTTATATATATATATATATATATATATATATATATATATATATATATATATATATATTTCTGTAACAGCAGCAAGAAAACTGGTGTGATCAAGTTCAACCTTTGATTATGTGACCATAAACCTAAACATATGTTATGGCAAAAGTGTAAATAATTCTTGAGTTATTTATATATATAATTTTTGAATAACTTTTTGAGTTATATATATATATATATATATATATATATATATATATTAACCATATATATATATATATATATATATATATATATATATATATATATATATATATATATATATGGTTAACTCAAAAATTATAGAAAAAAGTTATATATAATAAACTGTTACGTTGGAACATAGTTACCACAACAAAAATGCATATTTGTTTCAATGTCTAATTTATACATCTCATCGGGGGCTTAACATAGGTGGTATTAAACGATTTTATTTAAAAATACAACTAATGAAACATCACTTTATACATTTTAAAAAATTTTCCATAGAAGGCAAAGAAACAAATATATAAAAATCTATATATATATAATAACATTTTTGAATAATTTTTAGTTATATATGGGTAACTCAAAAATTATTCAAAAAAAGTTATATACAAGTCAAATATTATTTACACTTTTGGCATAACATGTTTAGAGTTATCTCACTGCTTACTAGTCATGCATGTTATTACTAGTACTACTGTGATCACATCATTAAATGTTGAACTTAATCACACTAGTTTTCTTGCTGCTGTAACGGAGTAAACACACACACACACAGATATATATATATATATATATATATCAATAATATTTAGAAAAATATGACAAACTGCATAGGCTTTTTTGTGATGCATTTCATCCACTAGGATTTCATCAGACTGGGCTTTTATGACATTGCCACTTCAACACATGCACAGGAAACAAGAGACACAAGTAGTTTCCAAATTTTTTGAAAGAATTTTTTCTTTTCAATCTAGCCGCAATCATCTGTTTTCTTTTTCTTTATGTCTCCACCTCCTTTGTTCCTGATTATCCCAAACTGTGACAATATAAAATCTACCAAGAATAGTGATATATATTTGGATCTAGTCTCTTAGAATATATCACTATTCTTGGTAGATTTTATATTGTCACAGTTTGGGATAATCAGGGAC